GGGGGGGGGGGGGGGGGGGAGGTCCGCAAGGGGCGACGTACACAAGTCGTCTTGCCGAATGATTGTAGCACCCTTTCTTGCTGCCGCACATGGAGAAACCGAGCGAGCACAATAGTTTGGCTCGGGGGAGGGGGTGACATCTCAGGTTAACTACATATCCTGATTCCTGTTGAGTAGTCCAAGGCCACGACACGCTACTATTTAATAGATATTCCTAGTCCCACCACGGCTGAACCGTTCGTGTCTCCTTTCGACAGACCCTCCGGATGGACGTTGAGAAGCTGTAGCAAACAACGGACCACGCCTTTGACGCGATCGACCAATCACATTCCCTCGATCAGAGGCCTGTCGATCACTACCCAACAAGGAGAGGGGAAGTGTTGGCAACATTTTCAATGAGATATTAACCGAGAGCATGCATATCGGGAGACCTCGGCATCACCGTCTGACTCGCTTGTCGTCTAGTCGGGCAGCTTCACACAGACATCCGGAGAGAAATCGACCACGCCTGCGCCGTCTTCGTAGACACCGTTGTTTATGTTCACATGGGATGTGTTGCCCAGGCCCTAACTGAGGCACCCATTTGCCCACCCCTAGCGTTGAATCGTGAGTATTAGTGCTGACCTGACGGTACCCTCTCCACTCTAGGTTGTGTTCCGGAAGCAAACCGATACGGGTTGTTTACAGCCCAAATGCCCTCTTCTCAGCACGAAACACTAGTCACCGCGCCTTCACCGCACACTCAAATGTCACAAAGCCATCACGATGCCTACCATCAGCCGATGTCCTCGTCCCAGCTCAAAACACCCATCACCCCGTCTCCAACACACCCCTATCCCTATCCCTAGATGTTTGTACAGCCGCAACTACACGCGCGTTCTCCGCCACCCCGGGCTCCGCCCCCTCCTCCGGTTCCTCCCAGGAAACCCTCAACACCTCCCGGATGTTGCCTTTCCCTGTGTCGATCACGGCCGCGTCGGAGCACACCAGCCTCCTGGACGCCTCCACAGCAGCAGAATTACATCTGGCGGCAATCGCCTCTCGGAAATACTGCGTGCTGCCCCCGGTGCCGAAGTAAAACCGCTTGGAGGCCACCAGGGCTTGGCCGCCCGGCGCAAGGTGTCTCCCCACCATGTCCAGGACCTTTTATCATTGTTGATATTAATAGAGTGTGCGTCGCAGTCGGTTTACAGTAGTAATTGCTTGGATTCCGCGGCGTCGGTGGGATTGGGTTGATGGGTTGATGCTGTTGTTGGTGAGGCTCCGTTTTGTACGGTCGGCGAGCGCACGCTGACCTTGTGGGAAAACTGAATGCGTCGAACGAAGGGTGATCATCATGTCACTGTGCGGCACAGGACACAACATGACGGGCGCCAGGAACTGATTTCTCCTCGGAGAGGTGTACTCGAAGACATCCAAGCATCTACCTCATGGGGATTCCGCATTCGAGTAGTACATACATGCTGGGTAACCGTCATCTACTCGAAATCATGGCCTTGCCGTCGAAGGCAATTCAGTCACAATCACCACAACACCGGCTTTCACACAATGGCTGCGGCTTGGTTGAAAACACCGACGGTATCGAAGCCTTTCTCAAGACCTGCGTGAGTGCCCATGTGTGTGACGCGGGGAATGTGACGTGCGGTCGTATCTCACCTTGTCAGCAACCGCAGTGGTGTAGAGAGTCTCTGCCGTGAGGATGAGATCGAAGAGCCCGCCTCCATCCCTCTTAAACAGACCCAATCATGGTGTTGTCGATGTATCGCCAGCGGTCACGAGAGAGAAGAGAGAGAGAGAGAGAGAGAGAGAAAGAGAGGGAAAAGACAAGCGCCGCAAGATTTAGAACGATATCCAAATGGAGAGTACTAGGCCAGAAGGGAGCAAGTGACGAGGACAAGTGAAAACGTACGTTATTTAGCATGAGCATGTCACAAACATTGCAAACAATCATGTTGAAATATACTAGCATATTAGCATGTAGAGGCGAAATGTATCTGTTGTTGGTATCCTGTTGCACTCAGTTCGGATGGGAGGAGGACGAAGGAAAGCAAGCATGTTACCGATGGCGATGAAACACTCGGGCAGAGAAAAGAGTCATGAACAGCAGGTATGCACCCCATTCCCCCGTACCGCGGCCCCTTCCGAGGTAGCTGAAGGAAGACACATCCCTCCCACCGTATGATATAGCATCACACTTCACATGACGTGACACGTCATGGCATCACCTGTTCAAGAAAAAAATGTTCGAAGACAACATCACACCACATGACATGATACGTCATTGCATCACCTCTTCAAGGAGAGGGGACAAAGAGCTCCAATCCCCGCTATAGTACTCTGCCAGCGGCCAGTGATGTGCCTCGACGTTTAGCCTGACGTTGGGGATGGTAACCTGTTCGATCACCTCGCGGTTGAAGTCCGAGAAGCACACGCGTACACCTGAAGTTTCGGAATTTCGAGTGCTCGAGTTGAAAGTACAGTATTATGCGTTAACGGCGCGTGCCCAGGTGGTGACTCACTTCCTTCTTGTCTCACATCCAACCAGTTCGTTCAAGTGCACCACACCTCCTCCTTTCTTCGAAATGCAGTCAACTACAGCAAAATGTGCGAACTCTACGCGCTATCGCGTTTGTCAAGTTCTTGTATTGGAAAGAAATCAAGGACGGAGTGAACGAAACACTAACATAGTTGCATTACCCGATGCAATGATTACAGCTCCAGAAGTGAGCCTACACCATCTCGAAAACACGACAATGACCGGCGTGGTATGCCAGCATGCATGCACTCTTAGCACATACCTTGTTGGAGAGCAACAATACCCGGGAACCCATGCCCACAACCGAGCTGCAATGTCCCACATGTTTATAGCGACGGTAGCAGCAGCAGCAACAGCGGCAGCGGAAGCGGCAGCGGCAGCGGCAGCGGCAGCAACAGCGGCAGCAGTAGTAGCAGCAGCAGCAGTAGCAACAGCAGCGACAGCAGCAGCAGCAGCAGCCCGGCCCCGCGATTGGCACGATCGAACAGAGAGGCGGCGGTGGTGCGTGTGAGAACTAAAACGGAGGCTCGTCGTGTCTCAAAAGGGTGTAGACCGGTACCTTTATCAACGCTGGTTTTGAAAGCTTCCAATCCGACAAGGGCCATCCTGCCAGGAACCGAGTGCAGTTGCTTTGCAGGTTTGATGTAAGGCATGACCGAAGTCGTTCCGACCCAAAGCGTAATAACACAACTGAATTCAGCAGTGAGGGCAATCACCACAAGCTCGGAATGAAGGAAGCCGAGAGATAAGCGCTCTGCTGGACTATTTTCATTCTGCCCGCCTGTGCCTCAAAGGTCCATCTCGCCATGTACAGTGTGCAAACCATATGGGGCCCGGGGGCGCGCCACAACAACGCAAGAGAGCTACACGTAGCTCTCACGTACTCCTGCTCACGCCTCTCAACAAACAGCCAACGTTTATCGACGGTGGACGCACTAGGGAGACGCAGCAACCCTCTCCGTGCCAGGAAAACCAGCCACAAGAAGAGTCCTCTTTGGAGCTAAGGGGAAAGTGGTATTAGATGCACACCTCGAGAACGCTCTTGGGTCTTCCCGTCCCACTCCCAACGCTCCCGTCCTCGCCGCTTCCACCGTCGAGACCCATGGGGGAAGAAGAAGAGTTTGACAAGAGGTGTTCCACGAGGTCGAGGCTGGCCTCCCATACCTTGAGACCCCCTTCATAGAGTCCCGGCACGAGGTCGCTCTCTTCAGGCACGTCTGGGCAGGCTGGACGTTTAGGCGTTCGTTGAATCAGCCGCGTTCGCCATTGGTTGGTTTGAAACATTTCGCCGCATATGTTGTCAGGGTAGCGACTGTCGTTGTTGATAGGTCTTGATTTTTCCACGGATGGATTAGTCCATGATTCAAACTTTCTTGGGTATTTGAGTCTAAGCAGCGACTCATGTATGTCTGCGTGTGTTCCGCAGATTATTAGTCTACTTGTTTTTTGATGCTGCAGACGCAAAATTCTTTTGTTCCTGCCCTGCCGAAACGATAGAAATAGACTCCCGTTTACAAGGGCGGCCGATGAAAGAAGCTATTTACTATCAATACACGCGCCTGGTGTGACTCGGGTGCGAGTGTCCTATCGTAGTTATGACCAACCCTCAGGCCGCAAAATGGTACGCGCATGTGAAAGTACATACAACGCACTCGCCGTTCGCTGAAGGAAGGACGCGGAAGAGAGTGAGGTCCTTAGACCTCCACGCCACAGCTTGTGCCGGCTGGGGAGTTGCTGTTTTGCCTGCTTCGCCTTCAGCCCTTGTTGTTGTACCTCCTGGCGAAGGCGCGATGGATTGATTGGGCATGAAGGATGCCCCGGTACCGCAGTATCAGCAGGGGCTCTCTTCATGGCCATTTATCTACAGCGTGTGCCACCTGTGTAGGTTGGTGCTTGGGCGCGAGCCTACACCGCTGCACTATGTACTGTTGTCGACACAGCCTTACAACAAGATTCCATGTCGAAGTTCTTCTGATTGTCGTGTATGCGTATGTTCCTTCAATTACTGCACCTTCGCCCACACCGACCACACCGACCTGCTGACCAACGAGACGCTGGCCCTGTTGGTATACTATTGTATTGTAGTGGAACAGCAGTTCCAGAAGGAACTGGAAGATAGTCTTACGTGTCCGGGGTTTAAAGAGTAGATATTCAGCAGGAACACAGCAGGTTCGAGAAACAATCTCGGTAATATGGGCGAACTGCTGGTGTGGGTGTAGTGTTCCACGCAGCAGATCAATTATGCAGAAGCAGCACATGTGCGTGAGTGATCACTGAATGAAAGAGCCCGGGCTTACGACCTTCCCTCACTCGCAGGTCACGGGACGTCTGCTGCAGCGTCGAACAAGTCGACAGTCTACAGCACTTGAGTGTACAAGCCTGTAGTGATGTTGCAATTTGCGGCATAAAAAATACGCGTCCTTTTAGAATGTGCACAGCACCTTTTTGCTCTCTATCTCTCTCTGTCACTCCTCATCCCATAAACACTGCAAAAGGACGGACACCGTCATGTATCGTGTATCATGTACCCGAGATCGCTCTTACCGCCATCTCCTCTATGCCTAATCCGCCGCGCGGTATACTGATCAGGATTGGTCACAGCAGTGTCCTCGTTCGCAACAGCAGACTGTTGTTCTTGTTGCTGCTCTTCGTTTGACGAGGGCGGATAGAAGCCAAACTTGAACATGATAACGTGCTGCACGCGGGAGCTACCTGCCGTGAGAGAAGGGCACAGCAGCAAGAGAGGGAGGGGGCTGCGAAGAGAGGAGAGCAAGAGATGCAAGATGCACTGTGCTGTTCGTAAGCGGCGTGAATGTGATTGGCTGAAGCTGACAGGGCTAGAGGAGTTCCACTATTCCTGCTTCTCGTCCTTGAAAGTTCGTTACCCTTGAACTACATGAAGTTTCTTCCGAAACACGTAGGGAGTTCAAAACTCTGACTCTGCCTCCTACCACGAGAAGTAGCAACAGGCTCCTCGTGTGCACACGATGCGACAGTGATGGGAAGCCTGGCGAGCGAAGGCGCGGTGGAGGGTAGACAGGGAGGTAACGTGAGAGGTCACTACGAGCGCATTCCCAGAGGACACTGTTACCCACCAATCCCTCCGGCGCCTGATCCTCGACGGGGAGAAGCCATGAGGCACAAGAAGGATAACGAGGTGCAAAGCAATCATACATACCGGCGTCCTTCGCAAATTGTGGTGATGTCCAAGGGTGCTAGAGCTGTTCCACGCAAGCCGATGCCGGAATGGAAAAGAGGATATGTTGGGTTCAAGCGAAAGGTGATGTGGGCAAAAAGGTTTGATATTCGCCAATCCAAATCCGAAGTGAGGCGCACCTATTGTTGTAGACTTGTAGTAGTCTACTAGAGTTGACTACTTGTACGATACACACGATACAGCACCGCAGTCCCTTTGGGGGCTGTTGGCTTGTGACCACGGAAGGCGTCCGCGTCAGTTGGACCAGTACGGACATTAATAGGTACTGAAGGGGGACCGGAACGTTTTATTATGTGAACGCAACAACAACCAACAACAACAACAGCAGCAGCATCATCAACAACAACAGCAACCAGGATTGCTTGTAATGAGTGTACCACTAAGCACATTGTGGCTGTGATGACATCAAGTGTGCTGCAACGCTCATGCTCTCCCGAACCATTACAGAAGGGTAGTGATTCGTCGGCGTCGGGCCGTCGCCGAAGCCAAGACGGTGTAGCCATCGTCACGACTTCCTCCACCTTTCTTCCATTGTTCATCCATCAACTACATGTACACCGCCGTGGCGGAAACTGTCGTCAACATCGCCGCTGTTCGCTCCTTTGCGGATGCACTCCCTGCTGAATGTCGTCCGCAAAGGTCAAGTCCAGCGCTTTCATACCACTTCTGGTGCTCGTGGCCGTGTGCGGAGCTGGAGTTCACGTGGTCGGTCTAATGGGAGTGTCCTTCGGCTTCTTCACGTGGAGTGTTGGGTGCGAAGGGGTGGTGACCGTGACAGGCGATAACGAGAGGTAACCTACACACGTGAAATGCCGAAGGAATGCTTGGTTATTATCTCATTCGCACAACGTCCGATTATGTATCCCTGTGCCATTCCTTCTGTAGCACCAACTTGGTAGAACTGTCTTCCTTGCGAGAGCGTTGGAATTCACTCTGAGTTCACTCTGAGTGCCTTTTTCTTGTACATGTTATCACGGAATATTTTTTGCCTTGAAGAGTGTACAAGAAGTGGTCAGGGACAATGGTTATGAAACGAAGACGGCGGGGGGACAACTAGACTCTCGGTCAATGCATCGGGAACTGACCCGGCGGGAGGACTTGGGGTTGGTTCTGTTCTGGAGCAAAGGCAATGACGTATGGATACAGAAAGAAAAATATACCACGTACTGCATGCGTTGCTGTATCGTAGGACAGACAAAATCCCGTTATCGAATGCTGATTTTTCGGCCAGAATTTCACTTCACATGGATACCGAGCGTAACACCCCCCCCCGCGCGCGCTATCTGTCTCCCTCGTTCGTTCAATGGGAAACCCGACGAACACGGCCACACCAATACAAATACAAACCCTGGCTCAAAGAGCCAACGGGATACAAACCTACAGCCTGGGTTGGATTCGATACGCTGGCAGGGGTCCAGAAACGGCCTCTGACTCCCCCACTGTTCCCGTGAATATCACCGGCAACAATAGTACCGCCGGCTCCGACCTCGGAAAGGGAGGAGTGGCGGGATCGAGCATATCGGAGAACGGGTGGCTTGCCGGTGTTGACGTCATTACCGCGGTTTTCGGTGTTCTCACCGCAGCGTGCCACCTGGCAGGCTTCGCCTTCTACATGGGCACGCTGTTCATGGTGCAGCTACTGTTTCGAGCCCAGTTCCGGAGCGACCGCTGCGTCTTCCGCGCAGCGGCGAAGGGGTCAGTGTCCCTGCTGGTCTGGGTGGTCGGAGTCGGCGTGCTTGGGTTTTACTTGTCAGCCCAGGAGGGTTTTACCGGGTCTGTGCTCGAGACTCTCCACAACGAAGGCTTCCTCTGCCAGGTGATGCTAGGACAGGACGCAGCACTTGCGTTTCATGCGTGTAGATGTTGGGTCGAATCGTTTTGGTACAAATGTATGTTCGGTGCTCTAGGCCGAACGCGTTGGGCATGAACAGTATCTCGTGCGTGCTTACTTGGCATGAACACATGTTAGGGTTGGGAAATTCGAGGCTCATGTATCTCAACCAAGATTGTTCAACGATTCCAGCAAGCTGTTGCGCTTCTCTTTTCCCTCGCCCCCATTTTTGTCCCATGAACTTGTCCACGAGCCACGTACGGCGTGTGAACGTTTTTAACTTCAGGCCCACCCTCCTGTCACCATTAATCTCCGGACAGCCAGTCACCGCTTGAATCGTTCCTATTCTCGATGTTTCTTACCGTCACCTTTATTTATCTTTGATGCTTCCTCAATACTACGAGGGAGAAGATACATGGCTGGCTACACATGCTCACGAACAACCTCCGCCTACCCTTTC